GTCCCAACATATTTGATGCTCCATCACTAACAAAGGCAATCAAGTTTTTTTTTAAAAACTCAAAATTAATCCCATACTTTTCAAGTGCTTGCAACATTGAACCTTTTACAGATACAGCTGAAGTATTATTCAGTTCAACAATATCAAAAAAGAATGTATTTATTTCACCCAATTCACCAATAGCACAGCGCAAACAAATAACCAACATTGACTTCCTGCTCAAAGTTGTCGATTCATCAACTAAAATACATAATTTTGTTCCATTTTCTATAATGCATTTAGCTAATTTTATCCTCATCTCAGAGGCAATATGATCAATTATTTGTGTACATGATACATTAGTATGAAGTATTCTCCCAAGATCAACTCCATTAATAACTTGGAGGTCGACTAATTTTGGCATATCAGTATATGGGCGTTGATTTTTAGAAATTAAATAGGCTGTTCTAAATATTTTTTGTGTTTGGTCTGATTCAGATAATGCCATTTCAGATATTTTTTCATCCATTATATTTTTTTTACTCTCATCAACTATCTTTTGAGCATTTAAATGTGAAATTGAAAGCTTGTGTTTTAATATTTTTTTTCTTAAATTAGTCTGTTTATTTTTTAAATTTAAACCAGTTGGAGAAATTTCTGCATTTGACCATTCAGTTGCTATATGTGATCCTGTTTGTTTAAGCAAGTTTAGATTTACATCTCTACAAAATATACAACCAATTTTTTTTTCTTTAAAATACATCCAAGGATAAGTTTCAGTAAAATAAAGAATTTGTTTGGAGTCCCAGCAGTCAGGATAAGAACTATTATTTATAGAATCAGTAGATTTAGTAACAGGAATAATTTTTGATGAGGTTGATAAGTCAATATTTGATTTAATTGTACTGATAGGAACTTTATGTGTAGGTAAATCATTCTTTGGAGTTTTAGAGAAGTTATACTTCAAAAGACTCATAATGTCTAAACAAAATAATATATGAAAATCAAAAAATAAATATTCATTAAAAATAATTTTACTTAAATAAGATTTAACTTACCTGTTGCCTGTTAGCCGTAACTTCTTAGTTCTTTTAAACAAATTATTTAAATAGGTAATTGAATAGTTAACACTAAAAACTTTTTAAATAAAACTGATTAAAAAGTAAACATTACATTGACAGGACAGTGTGTGAATAATACTAATAATAGGTAAACAATCGGTAAACAATCCGACCGCGTACCTCACTTCACCTAGTATAAACGTTTTCATCGGATTAACATTTTAAACATTTTCGTATTTTTCGAATAAGTGATAACAATTTAGCAGGAATACATTTGGTTAATGGTTTATCATTGAAGTATAGATGGCGCCAGATTTGCTCATGTACGACTTCCCCTCGTACACCTCTCTCGCGGACACTAAGCGACCCGGTGGTAAACGTCTCGTTTCCAGTCCAGTGTAGTAGTCCGTGATAAGATAATCACGGGTTTTAATCTCAACGGATTTCTGAATTATATCGATTAATGTTTAAATATAATTGGAGCGTTCCGGCATACCTAAAGAAGAATTTGTTAAAGGGGACGCTTTTTAACCACCATTCGAGGTAGGGGGACTGAGTCCCCCTGCGTCCCCCCCCACTTTAACCCCTGGCAGAAACTTTTTTTAATTTTGATGATGTAGGTAGTAAGCGATTTATACAAGTCAACTGCGAAATTCATTTTAAGTCTTTACAGCCATAATAATTTTAACAACTCTGACATAGCAATCATTCAAACCGGAGTAAAAAATAATATTTTGAACCCTATAATATCAATATTTGATCAATTAATTGTAAAAAAAACTGAAGAACCTTCATTATTATATAACATATATCGTTTTAAATATTTAATATTAGATCCTTTTAAATATTGTGCAACTGAGTATGGTTTAAATAATTGGTTAAAAGAAAAAATTACAAATCAAATATTCGACAATTTACTATAAATAATGAATTATCTACAGTTCAACATGACGGTATAGTAACATATAATGAAAAAGTTAATAAAGGAGCATTATTAGATTTAAAATTTCAATTTAAACAGTTTTTTGAACACGGTGATAATTTTGAAACTAATTATAATAGATTAATAAATTTGAAAAGCAATAATGAAAATATTTCAAATTTTGTTCAAGGAGATCTTTGGAGAAAAAAAACCTCAATGTATGAAGGAAAAATAGTATTTCCTTTTTTTTTATACATTGATGATGTAGAGATAAATAATCCTTTGCGATCACATGCTAATGTTCAGACTATTTCTGCAATATACTACAGTTTTCCTCTTAATGAAATTAATTCAAAATTGATGAATATATTTGTAGCTGCATTAATAAAATCAACAGACTTTAAAAAATTTGGAAATGATTTATGTTTAAATAACTTAATTAATGATATAAATATTTTGGAAAAAGATGGAATAGTCATATCTACAAAAAATGGTGATTTTAAAGTATATTTTTTACTTGGGCTAGTTCTTGGAGATAATTAAGGGTTAAATAGCATTCAAGAATTTAGTCGGTCATTTTCTTCAAATTTTTATTGTGGTTTCTGTAAAGTTGACAAATCTACAATGAGAGAACTTTGTGAAGAAGATGGTACTAGAATGCGCAATTTTGATAATTACAACGAAGATATAATAAAAAATGATTTTAGTAAAACTGGAATTTATAAAGAATCTATTTTAAACAAAATAGCAGAATTTCATGTCACAAATAATTTTTGTGTTGATCTTATGCATGATGTTTTCAAAGGAATATGTCACTACGATATTTGTCATGTTATTAAATATTATATTTTCACTCTAAAATTATTTTCATTAGACACTTTAAATAACAGGAAAAACAATTTTAACTATGGACAGTTTGAAGTCGGAAACACCTCCCCACCCATAACTGATAACCATTTAGATAAATTTCTCTTAAAAATGTCAGCTAGGGAAGTAATGACCTTTATACATTTCTTTCCCTTAATAATTGGAGATTTGATAGTAGAAGGGGATGAAGTTTGGCAATTTGTTTTAACATTAATTAAATTAATTGATATTCTTTTATCTTATACATTCAATCAAAGTACAGTAACACTCCTGAAACAATTAATTAAACAACATAATTCTTTATATATTTCTCTGTTTAATGATACATTAAAACCAAAGCACCATTTTCTAGTACATTACCCTACAGTTATTCAATATTCAGGCCCTCCTAGACATTTTTGGTGCTTTCGATTTGAAGCCAAACATAGAGAATTAAAAATATACGCTCGCACTACTTCTTCAAGAAAAAATATAACTTTAACACTTGCCAAAAAAGGTCAAATAAAATTTGCCAATTTTCTACTGCAAGAAGTAGTTAAAAAATATTCGCTAGAACAAAAACATAAAATATGTAGCTCTAGCCTAGAATATATATGTGAAAAACTTTCTATTGTGGCAACACAATTTAATTGTTATAATAAAATTGAATATAACGGAACTATATACAAAACAGGATACTTTTTAACAACATTTATAAATGAAATGTGTTTATTTGAAATTGTTGAACTAATAGAAAATGAAACAAATGGAAGTATTTATATACTAGCTAAACAAATTAAACTTTTATATTTTCATTCTCACTTTGAATCTTTTGAGGTAGATGATAAAAAAACAATAGTAAATCATAATTGTATTTATAATATTATTGAATTCAACGGGCCTCCGATTAGTGTTACAGAAATTTCTTTTGAACAATTAATGGTCCGATTAAAAGAATTTTTTTAAATATTTAAATTTATTAAATTATTAAAAAACAAAATAATAGTAAAAATAAATTAAATATAAATTAAAGTTATTGTTTAATTCAAAATTATCTAATATATTATGTATTAGGTAGAACAATGTTAAAATATATACCTACCTACCAAATGGCTAATATATATAATACAGCCTGGTGTCTTGATTTATATTTTTACTTAGTACTACCTGATGATTTTTGAAATTGAAACTAGTCATTAATATAAACCAATACTATAACACTTCATATATACTATATACTCATACAATTATACAAATTAAAAATTTTGAAACAAACCTATTTTTCGTATCAATATTTAAAATATTTTATGTGTGTAAAAGCATAACTAAATATGTAAATATTAATTATATATGTCATTAAGTATTTTACAGATTTTTATTAAGGTTTCTTGCTGGGTACCAATAGATGTACTTATTATTTTAAAAAACGGAGCTTAATGAAAGTACTTTAGTCGAACTTACATCATTTAGTAACAAATTATTTGAAAATGATTACTGTGAAAATCCCAATAGCTATAGTGGAAATTTAAGTGTAAGTATAGATTTTAAATATTAAAAAAAAAATAGATGTAACCAATGTAGTTCGAATAAATTATGGATTAAGTAACTATCATATAATAATATATTTATTATTTTTGCAGGGTTTAATTCCAACGTCGAGTTTACAACATAATAATTTAAATGATGATGAGTCTTTAAAACAATTATTAAAAGAGTGGGAATTAGAAATTTTATACCAAACATGTATAGGTAAATATATAGTTTCAATTATATTTACATGATTATATATAATCTGTTAGCTGTTGAAATATTTAGATCAGTTAGTTAATATCAAAGTTTTAAAAATGATGAAATTTGAGCATGCCAATGAATTGTTAAAATCCTATCCAGTAGGACAAAGTAATTTTTACTCATGAGTTAGAAAAATGGCAAAAAAAAATCAAGCCTTGCCGTTGGATCTGGATAGTGCAAAGCATCATAAGGAATTGGGTAGCATAGAACTAAATGAACCTATTATACAGAATATTATACAGAAACCCTTTAAGAGCTTTGATTTAACTGAGGTTTTAAATTCTTCTACTCAAGGCACTATGATTATAAATTACTTTAAATCAAATAATAAATTGAATGATTCAATTCGTACAATGCTAGTGGATGTAATAATTAATCATGTCATAACTCTGAAAATATCAATGTCAGTTAGTCTTGCAGATAGTATTGCTACTCAGATAGAAGCTTTGTTTAATACAGAAGTTAAAGTAAATAAAAATAAAATTTCTGATTTCTATTACTTTCATTTTAATATAATATTTATGCAAAATTATCTTTTAGGATACATATTTCATGAAAGGAGGTATTCATAAAAATCCTAAAGGAAAGTTATATGCAAAATTGTATAACTCGATGAGGCTCCTTAAATCTAGTGGTTTAGTTGATAATAATAAAAGAGGTACAACTGAAAAACAAACAAAAACTTTAAGACAATTTGGTAGGATTTTTAAAATTATGTGATAATGTGAATTTTTCATTAAAATTAACAATATTTTTTTGAATTTTCAGACTGCGAGTCAGATATTCAACATATTTTGGATCAAATATTCTATGATACCGACATCACATTTCCTGATTTACAAAATTTATGGAAAAGAACGACTAAATTCAGACTGAATGACATACAGAAATCATCTTCCACTGATGCAATCATAAAAAAATGGACAAACTATAAGGCACCATTAGGATTTAAATTAGTAAGTTATATTTTTATACTTAAATACTTTTTATACTTAGTACATGTTATGTTTTATTGAATACCAGCTAACTAGTTAGTTATTTGTTGATAAATTATTGTAATTATAAATTATGTTAATGATCTTAATTAAACATATGTTTTATTTTAGATTGATATTGATTTCAATACATTATACCCGGACTGCAGCAGTGACTTCATTTCCTCATTTGGTGAAAAATCTGAAAAATGTCTCAAAATATTTGAAGATAAAATTAAGGATCCTTCAAGCCGGACATTGTTTGAGCAGTTAAAGAATACACCTAATATTAGTGAAAGTAAGAAATTGAAATAAATAAGAATATTAATCCTTAACATATTTTATAATGGAATCAGTTGTTAAAAAGAAAAAAAAACAGACAATTTTATATTTGCATTAATTGTTTTCATTCCTACCTATAATAGAAAAACTAAAAGCAGCTCTGTATTATGTGTGACATACAATGTTTGGATTTTTAGCTAACAACTATGATAATTCAAATAAAACAATTTTTTCCATGACATATAGTTTCTCTAAAATTGTTTACTTATACATAACTATGATGCATTTTTATGTGGCTTGCATAGTAAGTTTATAATTTATATATATATTTCAGTTAAATAATATATTGATAACAACCCTTCAATATATAAAATAATTTATACTCTTTTGTGTCCCTTGATATAAACAAGGTTGATGACATCTGTAATATAATGTAACAACATACAAATTATTTATGCATACTATCTAAACACTATAAACATTAAACACATTGTGCAATCATATATTCATTATTTCATATTATTGGATATTGTATTAACTATTAACTATATACTGTTATTTTGCAGATGGAAAAAATAGCATCATATTTTGCTTATTCCACGCTGTATTTGTGCCAACAAGTAGAAAAGTTACTCGAGATGAAAATGGTACAAAGAGTCAAATCAAATACTCAATCAGGGATTCAATGAATAGTTTTATAGTTTTTAAAAACTCTATTACCGAAGTTGAAGATTATATATTATGTCGTAAAAATGAAAAACAGCCTATTCAACCTTTTATTATTATTATAGGTACTTCAGTTAACCCCAAAGAAATTTTTATATTTTTCGACTGTATTAAATACAAATTATTTTCTATAACATCTGCTGTTGATATATGTTTTAAAATTTTTCATTTGTTTAACTTAGAATATCCAGTGCAATCTTCAATTGTCTGGCTGTTTATTCAAAAATATTTTTATGCTATAACTACTGTATATGATAAACCATTCCATGGCTTAGGACAAATTTTAAGTGATTTGCATAATATTTAGAAAATAATGTTTCAATCTCATATATTACTATGTTTGTATAAATCATACCTATATTACTATTGTTTATTCATAATATATATATATATATATATACACATATACTTATATAATAGCAAATTAGTAGACTTATCTTTTTTATAAATTAAATACCTACCTATCAACCAACAATTTTGAATATTTAGCGGCAACCAAAAAAAAATTACTAATTAGGTAATGAAACTCAAGGCAGTAACTGGAAATTAATAACGGGAGTGGGGGGGGGGTTGTAAGTTAAAAATGTGTGATCTAATTAGTACTTTTATTATAATATTGTATAGATAATTTAATATAACCCAAACAAATTTCGAGGGTTGGAGGGGGGTGGGGTTTTAGACCCCCCACAGGTACGGCATTGATTAAACTAATAGTATGATACTGTGGTATAACAATATTAATTTTATTACCTCAACTATATTAATTGTTGAACTAATAAGTTAATTTGATATGAATGTCTTATCGGCTGAATAGCAATAATATTTTTATACCAACAAAATGTCTTGTCATATTGATAACATTTTGTGTAGAAAAGATGAAGTATAATCCATTTACGTTGCAACAACACAATTTGTTGATTTGATATGAAAGTCTTGTCGGCTGTATAGCAACAATATTATTATTGAGCCAACCTATTTTATTGTTATAATAAGTGTGGTTTTTCTTTGAGTGGACTTAAGAAGCACATTACGGGGACAGTGAGGGTTTCCTGGTGATACACGTATTGTTTGTAAGAGACTCGTATTTTTGTTTGTTTGTTTCATGTTTAATAAAGTATTTTAATAGTGTGAATATTGTTAAAAATTATTTTGTGTAACATCGAGATACAGGTATACGATAGTGGCACGCTATGTGGGGCTCGAACCCACGACCCCTAGATTAAGCTCTGGGAAACTAGTGATACCGGCCGGCTCTGGCGCTTAGAACACATTTGTGACTGAATTCAAACACCGTGCCACATCAGGCCACCATATATTTTTCTACTTCCCAACTTGCAAACATCTGAGATTTTTTTTTTATTTATTTAAAGAATAAAGGCTTCAACAGCAAAGGTCGCATTAGCTGACGGGCTTATGTTTTACATAATACTGATGTTTCTTAAAATTAGGTATTACATTTAAAAGATAATTATGACTACATTTTTGTATTTTCATTTATGGTTTTTTAATAATATTAGTAATATTTAAAAATGCAATGATTTTTGAGGTTTGATGTTCGTCGAGTGCTTCCGCAACGTTAGGTGGCATGTTCTGGTCGGTGTGTGTTTATTTCGTGCGATTTTAAATTTCACAAATTAAAGTGCAAATCAAATAATTTGATAAAAACTGCTTGAATAATGTGTGTGTCTTACGAACTGAGTGTGTCTTACAAACTGAATTTTGACTAAATAGGTATTTACTACCTATACATAATATTATACAGTATTACCTATACTGAAACGGGAAACGTCGTAAAAATACTTAAAAAATTTAAATCACTGAGTTTAGGGGAAAATAAATATATTTTTGTGAAATTATTATTGGGTGTAATAAATATAGATTAGGTAGTTACGGACTGTCACAATTTTCTTTTTTTTTTTATTAAATTTTTTTTATTCGCAATCTATTTTATATATATAGTTATATTTATAGTTATATTTAGTTATAAAATAAATAAATTTGATGAGAAAAAAATTAAATACGAAGTATTTGTTGGTGGGACGGAGTGGCCGAGTGGACTACTGCGTCGGTTCCGACGCATACCGTAACCGGTTTGAATCTTGCAGACCACTAGCGGCTCCTCTTTCTGGGCAGGCAACTGTCTAGAGAGAGAAGCCGCCATCCCCCGACCGGACATGGCAGAACCTACGGGTGCCCAATTTGAAATTCTGCCAAAACCAAATACACGTGTTTACCAAAAACCTACAGTACTTTCCCCCATAATTAAAAAAAAAAAAAAACAACCGATGGCCTAAGTGTACCGTTACAACTACCTATAACCCCAACAATAGCTAATGGCCATATAGGTGCAGGTCTCTAGATTAAAAAAAAAAAAAAAAATGTATGATAATATAGGTACATAAGTAATGATAACATGTTTATTGAAAGTTATCAGGAGTTCAAGTATTATTTTACATTATGAGGGGATTAATGTATTAATTGTACAACGACGTATTTCTCTCTACCTGTCTTCACCTTTCGGGGTAGAAAAAGGCTTCGATTTCCAACTTTGAAGGTGGTTTCTGATAGCGATGTGGATTTAATTGGTTCATATTATGTTGGAATTAAAATTAATAAATTCCAAGTACATATCAAAATAACCAGTGAAAAAACAAAACTTAGGAAAAGCAGAAATTTTTACACAAAATAATTATTTGACAAATTTGATTTTGTTTTTTTGACGTAACCAAAAAACGAATAACTTTAGATATTTTAAATTTTCTCCAAATATTTATATTAGCATTTTCTTCACATGATACAATTTTTAAAATATCTTGAATCTTTTGAACTATTTATATAGGCATAATATGAAATTGAAATTATTATTTTCTTTTAGCTTTTTTTTTTCTATGAAGGTTGATGAAATTTTTGGCTATTTCAAAAAATATGAAAAATGTAATATTTGGTTGCTCATAAATTGTTCATTTAACATCTTAAAAATATCGAAATCACATGGTAAGAATATTAATTGTTAATATTATTGTTATATATTTGTTTTGTTTTCAGCCTGTTTCAAATGCATGCACATAAAACATACCGTAGAAAAAATCTTAATGGGTACCTACCTACCAAAATACTAAAAATACATTAATCTAGGAATTTGTTAAAATCTTAATAATTGTCTTGTCATATGGAACTGATGAGAGCATTGGTATTTTTGTTAGTAACCTAACCATAAATGTTATTACTTATTAATCTAATTACATATCATTAAATTTATTTATTATATCACAATTTATAAATTTTAAATACATTTTTTTCGTTAATCAAAATAAGGTACTAAATTTAAAAAAAAAAAACAAATTAAAAAAATTGTACCACCTAGAATAATGAATATTATAATGTTATTACAAGTATTATTGTAAATTGAGTTGATTTTCGTTATAAAGATTATTATTATTATATAATGACGTGTGCTTGTTCTATAATACCCGTGAAATCGTTGGTAACTTAATTTACACGAACTATAATAATATAGTATTATTATGTACCTATACTGTACAATGTACATAATATTATAACGAGCACTATACTTTTCACAAACAACATGAATAGAACCATCTATTCCACGATGAATATTTTATAGTTTACACAGGCCATCTTAGACAAATACGCGATTGTTTGCTTATTAAATTAAATCAAAACAGTGGTTTGTTTTTATTTCCGAATAAACGTAGGTATATATATTTTTTATCTTAATAAGTGTATTATGATGACATACAATGGCATGATTTCGTCTGTTATCAAATTATATTTTTCATTCCCGAGTTTTTACCACGATCTCATTCGAATGTCGGTTATATTATACTTGTGTATAAATGACGTACCTACCGAAACAGGTGCTCAATAATATTTCCACTTTTCATGTTTGCGAACCGACTAGTTTTGTTAGACAGTATAATATTATATAGTAATAGACCAAGACCATTATAAAATATAATATATAGGTGTCGTCTATAGTCTATGCATTTCGTTATAAGACTATAATCAGAACTCAGAGGCAATTAGGAGTCCACCCCCCCCCCCAAGTTTTGTAACAGAAAATTTTACAAGAAAACATATTATTATTAGCAAACGCGTTTAATCAAACGATATTTTGAATGATTATTTATGAAAATAGGAAAAAAAAATAGTAAATCATAGTTTTTGGTATTGTAAATACTAAAATACAGTACCTACATTTAAAATGTAAACGTTCATTTATTTTTATTTGATGAACCTCGGAAAAATGGGTCATTGGATATGTCAGGGATTACTGTTAGTACGGTTGGTTTATATTCGTCGTCAAGAACCCGGGTGGTCACCCATCCTAGAGCCGTCCACACTGGACGATATTTGACCACAATATACATCGGTGACTGCTGTAAACTACCACGACAGGCCAGGCTTATGTTTATCAACATTTATTTTTATATTATCATTAGGTGTAAGATGTATATTTTTTTTTTTTGGACAATTTTTCAAAATTATCAAGAATGTTTACTAAATAAACGAATTGTCTGCTATTGATATACAAACTAACTATTTTTATTGTTCGTGTAAATTATGTTATTATATATTATTATTTTAGACAAGACTAACTATCCCGAGGTTTTATTGTCCTTTTCAGACATTTCTATACTTATACTTCTATACTTCTATATTTAACCAGAATGATTTAGTTTATTTTATGTAAGTATAATTTCAGTTTTTTCATTTAATCTATTAAAATAGGTTAAAATATACCTTTTATTGGAAGGGGCTTCTATTTTACTTAATTATAGTTAAGAAGTTATTGATAATTAATTGAATACTTGTATTGCACATTTGTCTTAATATATCTAATTAGCTAAAAAACTAGATCTAATTATACATACATCTAACGCTACTCATATAACAAATAAATACCTGCATCATGATGGTTGTTTGACGAACAATCTTTGATGCAAATGTTTTGTGTTTGACTTAGCTCGGATACTCGATCAATATAATATTATTATTATACACATATTATAAAGATGTGAGTACCCTGCGAGATATCTTGTCCCTTGTGCCTCACACCGACTTGCCTCTGAAATTACAATATATACAGAGTGATTCACAAAGCATGATCAGTGATCGCCATATTTTACTTCAATAATGCAGTTTATCAAAATCTGGTTTATGGAATTTTTAAATATACTTAAATACCATACTTTTCAAATTATTGAGATTATTTGTAGGTACTAGAACTAGGTACTACCTATATACCTAGAAGGAGTGTCCTGTGGAGATACATACTTCAGTTTC